ATTGAATACTGATACCTCTGTACAGTACATATAAATGTTGGCATTCTCTGTAAAAAAAAATAACATTCAAGTGAAAAAGAGAGAAGGAATCGGTCCTTCTATGCTGGAGGTCATTTCTTTTAAATTAGCTAAATACTGTAAATGGTAAATTGGTGAGAGAAATGCCCAAGAACTTTTCTTACATCAATTTTAGGGTTGAAAATATCTTTCTTTTAATTTGGCCTGAAAATTATTGGCAATTTCATCACAAAATATCCTCATGTCGAGTCAGTGTCCTCATGTCGGGCCTTTTCTATCAATTTTTTCATGGGAAAATAAGTGTCCCTATGTCGAATTTTTCGCAGGTCGAGGCGTCCGCATGTGGGGGTCTCACTGTATTTGGGTCATGGTGTCTTGCATTTGTTCGTGAATGTTTACGTGTACCGTACAGTGAAGTAAGTGTTGCTGTTATCTGATTTCAGAGCCAGAATTTCATCACGACATGGAGCGACAGCTTGACGATAAATGCATGAATAATCGTGACGTGGAAAATATTGTGCGTATTTGTGATGTACTGGAAAATCTTGAAAGGACTCATTTAGAAAACAGCAGCAGCGATACCCAGGACGACGTTCAGAATGGCTGTGAGTTCTTAGATTACTCTATTTTTACATCAAGGTAAAAAAAAAAATCTTCGAAAAAATGTGTCTGGGGATTTCCGTATAACGAAAGTTCACAAGACAGTGATGCGTATTTTTGTAAAAATTCTAAAGGAAAATCATGGCTTCTCCGGCGAACGATTCCAAGAACATACTCCAGGCGTTGGAATCTGAAACTTCTTACTCGTATTTGCCTACGAACTTGAGAAAAGACATAGAAGGCAGTGACATCTAGTTCCTCTAATACTCTAGCATAAAATCTCTGATTCTCTCCAGCTGACGTAGAGGATAATCGACGTTCGAAACGGCGCAGGAATTTTTGCGCATCGCTAAAGAGCATGCGCCGATTCCGCGATTTTGCCCTTCAAGATCAGGTCACACAAAGATATTCGGGCACTCGTTCCAAGACCATTACAATACTTCAGTGTTGTTTCACATACATCAGTTTTCAAAGCGCAGTTGCGTAAGAAAAACAGTTAGTTCCCTCAACTAAAGAAAAAATTTCCAAATTTTTAGATAGAGAATCATAACCCCTTTCCCTATCTCTAATGCGGTCATAAAAATTAAAAATAAACCAAGTTCCGTCCTCAAAACATTTCCCACGCTTTTTTTCTTCTTCTTTTCCTCATGCACTTCTCGAATGAACAAACATCTCTCGTCCCAAGTGTACCTAATAATCCTGGAAATCGGCCCGATTCCTACAAATTATACGGCGGAATTATAGTGTACTAGCAAGCATTACTTGAATCATGCGAGTGTTATTGCAAAGCGTTTTGCGCATTTTCCGGCCTATTATTCAGTCATCTGTTCGACCACGTGAGTTTACTGTACAGTCGAGAGAAAATTGTTGAGTAGAGTTTGGCACGTTTCAGCGATCTGATCTATTGAACGTATTGAAGCACGAATTTATTCGTATATTCTTTTTAAATAACGAGTAGTCGAGAATCCATCTTCATATGTACTTCGGGAAGATTCATAGTGCTGTAATGATTTTATTGACGGTAAAGAATTAGTTTCTTTTCAAGATTAAGCCAGAAATGGTATCATACGGATTTTAAACTTGATTCAATAACGCAATGATATAAATATGTATTTGTGTTCCCCTAGATAATGTATTTTATTTATTTAAAGAATATGTTTTTATAAGTGCACTGTTTTTTGGTCCTGAGAGTCTCTCAATTTTACACCTAATATATTTCACAGCTTCAAATATTTCGTCCAGTATCATGATCATCATGGACTATTTGAAAATACAATACTTCATGCAATGCCAGATGCATTAAATTGCATTTTTACACACACAAAAATTAGAAAACGGACGAATCTCCAAAAGTCAACTTTGAAAAAACTGACGAACACAATTTTTTGACATTTGACAAAAATGTCGTAACTTGATTATTCGCCAAATTAACACAAATGCTCATTAGCCATATGTGTCCTACCTACATGAAGATTTACATTCCTCCTGTAGAGCACAAAGAGCATAATTTGCATATTTTTTCTTCTTTTTACTTTTCTAATAGGATTTCTAAAAATTAGCTTCAATTCGATATTTCAATTTTCAAGGTTTTTTAATTTTATTTTCGCATTGAATAAGGGGTTCCTTCAAGTTTCGAGGTGGGGAGGCTTGAATGCATTGCTCTAAGGAGAATTGGCGAATGGAAATTCGAAGTACAGTATAGATGTTTTTTCAACTTGGAAAAGTTACACTTGACTAGGTTGCACTGCATAAAAAAAAACATGCTACGTAACCTTGAAGTACAGTGAATGTAAAACACAGTACAGTTCAAGCTTACTGTATTTCTACCTCCAGTTTCTGTAATATTTCAATACTGCACTTCGAACAAATTTGACATTCCTCAATAAAAGGGGGCAAAACTCGAATGATACCTCAATTCCTCCTGAACACCAAGATTTTGAGTATAACGAAATTTTTCTCAAGTTGGTTCCCCTCGGAAGTTAGAACTGAATTTTGTAGGTCAAAACTTAGGAAGGGCTGTTTAACGAGTTTCACAATTTCCTTCAGCTATCACTGAAGCGCGAATGTAATTCAAACGTCAACCCAATTCTGAAGTGCAGACAAAAATAAGAATATTCAAGCTCTTAGCCAACTACTATAACTCAACACTTATCTTCAATGAATGAGTCGGTTATCCCATATTTCTGATCCAAGAGCCCCCACCGATAACCCGAATGTCTGGGGACGCAACAGGAGATAACAAACTCTGTTTCACACTTCACATGCCTGAAGTAAACCGCGAATGAATCCCAGTGAATTCGGATTGAAAGCAAAACGTACGCCGAGTTACCAAAGAGAGAGAGAAAAAAATATGATGAGCAATTTCAAGAGCTCGAGATCTCAACAAAGCAAATCAATTGTGATCATCAGCGCTTTCTTTATCGGATGTACCCTGTGCGAATCCGCGTGCAAAAACATTCATTACGGGGCAGATGGGTTTAGGGAAGCGTTTCTTCCGCCTCAATCTGACATCTCACCCAAGGTTTTCCCAGGTGAATAAAATATAAATAATCGACTCGATTTGAATTAATAAAAACAATGACTCGATTTGAATTAATAAAAATAATGACTCGATCTGAATTCATAAAAATAATGATCATCTTTGGGTTCTCATCTCGAGATCTTTCTAGACTAGAGAGTAGTCACCTAATGTACGCTGAAAAATTTGGTGAATTAACGGATGAAACCAGGAAATACAGTTTAATCTTGTCACATAGAATCTCAGAAATTCTTACAAAGGTTGTTGTTTCTGAGGTCCCAACTTGATTGCCCCACTGTTGAATGAGTTCCTTTATAACAAACTAGGGGAGAGGCCCAGCCACACCTGGGCAAGTGACATCACAGGAAAAGATTTTGTCCACTTTTTGGAAGGATACTTTTTTCCATGTGAAATTTTTCAATTTAAAATGAATATCCCTGTCATCATCAGCAAGAGGGTGCCCAGCCACACCTGCATGGGCATGCCCAGTTGTGTGGCCCAGTCACACCACTGTGCATTATATTTAAAAAAAAAAGGATTGCTGTATGACATTACAGTATAGACATAACATTGCACTGTTTTTCTCTGTACTGTACTATGTTAGTGCCCCAATGTTGCAAAATATACATAATTTTTCGCTTGAACTTGTGGTCAATGTGCCACTTGTGGCCTTGACATTGCCCAGCTGCACCTAACTTCGTTGAAACTAGATTTAACTGCCTTGGAATTTCGCTCGATAAAAACTCGCATCAAGAAAGAACTGAAATTTAAGTTCGGAGTTTCTTCTTCTTTTTCTGGTTTTCAGACGAAGTACGGTTTCACGAGCTGAGTAAAGGGCTTCGAAAGGGCACCCTTACATTGATCGACTGCAGGAACCAAACCGAGCGAGAAGACCCAGGAATGATCCCCGGAAGTTTCAATATCCCACGTAAGCACGATACCCAACATATTTCAAGGTCAAATGGAAATACTGTAATGCAATACTGTCTTTCATGTACTCAAGGAAGAACTGGTATTGCTTACTTAATTAACATAAGGAGCACCTTCATCCGCGAAAATAATTCGACTTTTATTGCATTGTGAGATAATGAATGTTCTGCGCCCAAGCTTTTGGCCACAACCTTTTTTAAACGATGATGTAAAATGGAATGCTTGGCATGGATCACGCTTGTAATTGATCCTTCAATTGAAATTAATTTTGGGACTCAAGAAAATTCGGCGTGTCTTCCAGCCGAAGACGATATTTGATTAAAAATACAATATTCGAGAAAAAAGGCATTTTTCTGGAATACAGAAAATATTGGACAAATATTGAGGCAAAATGGTATGAAGTAGGAGATTTCACGGGTACAGATGTATTTTTTTTTTTTAATTTTATTGCTTAAAATTAAAAGGGTCCATTGAAGCATTGAACAGCGTCCTTCTCATATTTCGGAAATCCTATTCCTATCACCACGAGATACAGGAACAAAAAAAGCTTTTTTTCTTTTGCAGTCCACGAAGCTCAAGAAGCATTCAAGTTAACTGAGTCAGAATTCGAAGCACGATATAGATTCAAAAAGCCGGATCCCAGCAATGACCAAGTCGTTGTGGCCTGCAGAAGTGGAAAGAGAGCAGAAGATTTCATTGACCGCATCCGTCCTCTCGGCTACGAAAACTTCAGGTACGCAGAAATTTCACGATGGCATAATTGCAATAGAAATGTTTCCCAATTGTAATTTAATGTAACACAACCTAAATGTAATTTTTTGTAATACTATGGTTCAGATTACTTATGTTTACTTTTATTTATTACCGTATTGGCCGTGACACCAGCAAGATTTCAAAGTAAATCATGCACTCGAAATTTAATCAAATCGTCTATAGAATGCAGAAATTGAAGTGTAAGGGAATTGGGCAAAGTAATTCTGTGCACTCTACAGAACAGTGAATTACTGTACTTCATGCTTTCCCCAATGATAACTAATTTCTTACCCCGAGTCGAAAAAACTTCAGAAGTCTACTTCCTATATTCCATGAAAAAAAAATACTGCTAGATCGAACCGCCGAGATGATGTTACTCAATTTCGATTTCTTCAGAAAACATTCTTTCATTTCATTCATCAGGTTGTACAAAGGAAGCTTTCTGGATTGGGAGGAAAAAGGAGGCCCGGTCACTCGTGAAAAACTGCGCGGCCCACAATAATACGGTACTCGGACGGTACTCCTTTCCCCCCGAGTTGATATTTAATTTTTTTTCTTGATGCTCAATTGTGAAGTGACATGGAGAACTCATTGATGCGTCAATTGCTGGTTTCCGGCAAAGTTCAAGAATATATTCTCCTGACATTCTTCACGCTTGTCCGAGTTTCTTCCTTCCTTACACTGCTATGAAACGTCCAAATAACTACTGCGTAATTATTAATAACTACATGCGTACCCAAATGTAAATAAACGCATAAACGTAATGAGTTAAATTTGTTCGGAAAAATCAAACCAAAAAATAAATTTACACTTATTAAAAAAATTGCACCTAGAGAATAATCTTGAATGTTTCGAATTTTATAAATTTATCAATTTTATCAAATTTTATAAGTTCAACAGTGACATTATTAATGTTCATCTCATATCAGTAATAAGACCAGAAAACCTGGACCGCGCCAATGTATCAATATATTGGCAATTTGCGTTTGTTACTAAAGTAATGCGCAAGTTTGAGATTAGGCCAAGGGAAAACATAACATAATTGAAATTGATTGAATCCATTTAATGAATCGTTAATCCTCCCTGGTCTGTTTCTAAAATATTTGTGCTGGAAAAGAATTTCCATGGAACTTTTTGACCATCTCACAACTAGAAAAAAGTATAGTGGGCCACCACCGGAGTAAAGTTTTCAGACATCAACTTCAAGTCAGTGGACATTCGCTGTTACCGTAGTAACCAAAACATAAGCACAATAATACCATGAATCTATCGTGTCTCAAATATCTTCAGGAAATCAGGAAGCGACAGGAGAGAGAAACAGAAATGTTTACCTCGAGGTAGCGAACACGGCTGACTGAACCCGCTTTCCGAAAAACTAAAGGCACGTCCGTAGATTTCGTCCTGATGATTTCGACCAAATCGTTGATGATGCGAGGTACGAAGGCTTCCGCTCCGTTTTTCAATTCAATTCGAACTTTAGGTAAAGTTTCCAAGGCGATGCCGAACGGAGGACGAACCTTCAGTTAGAATCAAAGAAAGATAATCCTCATTAAAGCGCAATACTAATTGAACAAAAACAAGGAGAATACAACCAACGATTTCCGGCTTTTACCGATGTCTTTTCCCCAAGAAAGAAAAAAACAAATTCTTCGAAAAGACGAACCAACGCTCCTATCGTTCTTAAACGCAGATGAGGCCAGCAAGATTCTTAAGCATGTTTTTTTTTAAATTTCATTCCAACGCAGTATTCTCAGACGATGGTTACTCGAATTAATTCGACCCGCAAAAAATAAGACTAACAGACCAAACTACGAATGAAGACTCAACACATTCCTTAAAACTCCGCTGTGATCGACGGTACAGGATTCCATATTCAGTAATGTGCAAAACCGATAGCTGGAATGCAAAAAATTTCAATTTATTAATGGGCCTTGAAGTGACCTCTCTCAAACGATGGAAGTCTGACAAAAAACAAAACCCTTATGCGTACTAATGCTGCCTTGTTTTTTCCAAAATACGCTCACCTGATGTTTCCTTGGGGTGCATAGAATTTAGAAATTCCTCAAACAAATTACACATTCATAAGAACATTTTAAACTCAAACCAAGTTGATGCAGAAATTTTTTGATTCTTGGCAAAAAAATGGACAGGTGTCGCATGAATCACTGACCTGACACACACTCAACTGATCGAAGTACTTAACCTAACTAAAAGACAACTCAACAATCTATTTCAGTCTCAGAAGAGAACTGTATCACGTCGGAAATAACAAAGAGCAAAGCCATCATACGTAAAAGTGAAAAGAACCAACTTTTTTCAAAACGGATAAAAAAGTTGATGAACACTTTTCAAATTGTATAGTTGACCACATCCAGCCATCCGGATCGAAAAGTTAACCATACCTTTTTCGACTTTTCAGATGAGTTGGCGTGCACCAAACACAGCTTCCTGTGCACTTGCAAATTCACAGTGATGACCTTGCCCCGCACAAGGGATGCCTCCAATTCCTCCCTGATTTTGCT